ACCCTTGCTGCCGCCGGCACCATGCAGCCCCCTCGCCTCCTCCTCCTCTTCCTTCTTCTCGTCCTCCCTGGGATGTGGGCAGATCCAGAGGGTAAGTGGGAGCCCTGGCTCACCTCCACCTGCTCCCATCCCTGCACTGCAGGACCCCACAGAGGTGGCAGCGGGTGGGCACAGATTGGCCAATGTCCCCATCACCAAGGGGCTACCTCCCCACCCTACAGCACCCAAAGGTGTCCCATCCCTGTCCACCTGTGCAAGGTTCCCTGTCCCACACCATCTTGCCCACTGGTGCTGGGGTTCAGGCACCTGAGCAGGCACTGGGTTCCTCAGACAGGCCTGTGGTGCTGGGGTGCCCCCAAAGATGCCTTCCTGCTGCAGGGAGCCTGCAGGCAGCAGAGCTTCTCAGTCCCTCCAGGCACAACAGCCCTGCACTGGGCTCCAACAACTTGAGCAGGTCCTGGGCTCCACCCTCAGCCTGCGGGATCTTTTCTCTTGCAATTGAAGGGTTCCTGGATCCTCTGCTTTCTCCTTCTGTGAAACAATGAAGCTCGAAGTTTCCTCCTGTGGATACACCGAGCCTTCACCTCCATTCCCAGCCTGTTTCCCATTCTGGGGCAGGCACTCACTGCACCCTGGCCAGAGGGGCACTCACTGCTCCAGAACAAGCTTCACTCTGCCCTGCTATCTACTGGAGTCTCATTTAGCTCTGCAGCATCAAACTGTCTCCTGCTTCCTGTCAGCATTTGGTTTTGAGCACTGCCCAAGATACCCTAAACTGGGGTGAAATGCTCCTCCCTCCCAGCCCCCCCAGCTCCTGCACTGTATGCAGGTCTCCAGTGGATCTGGGTCCTGGCATGGGTGCTCCTTGCTGGGGGAAACATCACCCCAAACCAGCACCAGGGTTCCCCTACCATCCCTTCCCCATGGTTAAGTGACAGTTTCCAGAGGGTCTCACTGGGGCAGTGGATGGCTCAAAGAAGGAAATTAGAGGAGAAGCAGGGAGAGGCTCAGACAGGCCGCGGAAGGAAACTGCAAACTGAGTGAAACCAGGGGATTTCCCCCTCCCTGCCTGTCTGCCCCATCTCACCCTGCCTGTCCCCAGGGACACTGCAAGCCACCCTTCCTCCTGAGGCTGCCCACCAGCACTGAAGCCTGCAGTCCCCTGACCTCCTTCATCCTCATGTACTCCAATGCCGTTTCCTCTCCCCCCTCTCCCCACAGGCTCTTATAAACTCCACATTTTCGAAACCACCATCTTTCACAACACCACCCTTGTGGATGTTTCACTCTGGGCCACCCTGGAGGACATCATCTTTGCTACCATGCAGAAATACACAGGGAACATCTTATACCTCTACCCATGGGTCTACCAGGCCCTGCCTGCAGCAGAGTGGGAGAACCTGCAAAACCTGTTCAGGATCTATGTGCACAACTTCATCCTGTTCCTGACCGATGATGCCAGGCTGTACCAGACACCTTGTAAGTACCAAGTGCTGAGCACCCAATCACCCAAGGCAGGGAGCTGTGAGGAGGAGCTCAGAGCCACCCCCGCCAGCTTGCCCAAACCAGGGCTGGCAGGAATATGCAGGGAGTAGACCTCATTGTGCACCAGCAAGACTCCCAAAGTATCCTGTCCTGTGCAGAGGTCACATGGGGCCATCTTGGTCCCCAGCACAAACTTTGGCTACATTTAGCTCCACTTATGCCCTAACACCACCTCCCCTATTGCTCTCTTGGAACCCCAGATCCCACCAGAGAAGACATCTGAGAAAATGGAGAAGATCAAAGGGGTCTCTCTGCTCATGTCTGTGGGACACACAGAGCAAGCGCCTGTCCCCAGACACTGGTGCAGCACCAGTTAACCAAGGGCAGAGCACTGGGCAGAGTGCCACCATCCTCCTGCTCATACCCCATGTCCCGTTACTCCCCCAAAGCAGTGCTTCCCTCTTTGCCATGGCTCCCAACCCTGCTGTGGGCAGGGATAGCTCAAGGACAACAAGCTACAGGGCTCAGGACAGGTTTCTCACCAACAGAGTTTCCACTAGGTATAAATCAGAGCAGTGACATCGGGGGATAGAATAGAATAGAATAGAATAGAATAGAATAGAATAGAATAGAATAGAATAGAATAGAATAGAATAGAATAGAATAGAATAGTTCCATAGGAAGGGTTCTACAACAATTATCTAGTCCAATTGCATGACCACTTCAGGGCTAACCAAAAGCTAAAGCAAATTAAGGGCATTGTCCAAATGCCTCTTAAACACTGACAGGCTTGGGGTATTGGCCACATCTGTAAATAAAAGCTTCCTAATGTCAAGTCTCAATCTGCCCTGAGGCAGCTTTGACCCATTCCCACATGTCCCATCACTGTATCCCAAGGAGATCAGCACCTCCCTCTCCATGTCGCCCCTCAGCCTCCTTTTCTCTAAACTACACAAGCCCAGAGTCCTCAGCCATCCCTCACAGGACACACCTTCCAGCCCCTTCAGCTCTGTTACCCTTCTCTGGACACATTCTAGTACTTTCACATCCTTCCCAAATTGTGGGGCCTGGAACTCAAGGTGAGGCCACACCAATGCTGAATACAGTGGGATAATCCCCTCCATTGACCAGCTGGTCATGTTGTGTTTGATGCACCCCAGGATGAAGTTTGCGCTCTTGGCTACCGTGGCACGCTGGTGCCTCCCGTTGAACCTGCTGCTGACCAGCACCCCCAGGTCTTTTGCTGCAGAGCTGCTTTCCAGCTGCTCCCATCCCAGTTCGTATTTGTGTCTGGTGTTACTCCATCCCAGGTGCAGAATCTGGCATTTGTTCTTGTTAAATTTCATGCCATTGATGATTGCCCAATGCTCCAATCTGTCTAGATCCCTCTGCAAAGCCTCTTGTCCCTCAGCAGAGTCAACAGCACCCCTCAGTTTTGTATCATCAGCAAACTTGCCAAGGGCGCATTCAACTCCTGCATCCAGATCATAGACAAAAATATTGTAGAGCCCTAGGGCTGAGCCCTGAAGAACACCACTGGTGACTGGTCGCCAGCCAGACGAAGCCCCATCCACTGCAGCCCTTTGAGCCCTTCCATCTAGCCAGTTCTTCACCCAGCACACCGTGAACCCACTCACCTCCCAGCTGGACAGCTTGTTCAGAAGGACGCTGGGAGGGTCAGTACCAAAAGCCTTGCTAAAGCCAGAAAAACTACATCCACTTCCTTCCCTTCACCCACTAGAGGGGTGACCTGATCATAGAAGGGTATCACATTAGTTACAGGACTTTCCCTTTGTCAACACGTTGACTGTGCCTGATGATTGTGTTGTCCTTTAAATGCCTTTCCACCCAGTATGATCTTCCCCATATTTTTTACAGGTTCTGAGATTAGACTAGCAGGTCTGTAGTTTCCTGGGTCTTCCCTCATACCCTTCTTGTAAATTGGAATAACGTTGGCTAGCTTCCAGTCAATAGGGACATCCCCAGACTCCCAGGACCCTCAGCAGATGATCGAGAGGCATCCTGCTATAACATCCATTAGCTCCTTCAGTACTCTGCGATGAATCCCATCAGGCCTCCTGGACTTGTGAATGTTCAGCTGATACAGCTGGTCCCTGACAATTTCAGTGTCCACAAATGGAAAGTCAGTGTTACCACACTCATGGTCCTCCAACTCGGAGGACTGGGCAGCCCAAGGTCTATCAGTATTATTAAAGACTGAGGCAAAAAAAGCATTGAATGCCTCCACTTTTTCTTCATCCCTATTAGTCAGGTGACCATATTCAACAGGTATTGGTCCAGTGTTCTCTTTAGACCTCTTCTTGCTATGAATGTACTTCAAAGAGCCTTTCTTGTTGTCAGACACAACACTGGCCAGTTTCAACTCTAACGAGCTTTGACTTTTTGCGTCTTCTCCCTGAGGGGAATGACTTGGGGTGCAGAGGGAGGGGGGAAAGGGCTGTGCCCAGAGAAGTGGGTGCCAGGATGCAATTTCGTGCTCCAGCTCAGGCTGCACTCACGATGCCCATCAACCCCTCCAGACCCCTTTGTGATCCAGTGCGCAACCGGCTGCGACTTATATCCCAATGGCTCCTATACCAAATTCTATCATCTCGCCTACAACGCCCGTGACTTCTTCAGCTTCAACGTGGACAACATCCGGTGGGAGAGACAACAGGACAGTGAACTGGCAGTGCGAACTGAGAAGCAGTTCAACACCTTCACCGGCCTCTCTGCAAACCTGCAGCACCTTCTTAATATCACCTGTGTTGACCACATGAAGAAATTCATCAAGTACGGAAAGGCAGCTCTGGAGAGACAAGGTGAGACCACCCAGACCCTTGCCCAGCCACCCTAAAGCCCCCCAACTGGGGCCAAGCAGTGCCTCCCCAGGGCTCCCCTCATCCCTTTGTTCTCGCCCACCAGAGCCACCCATGGCCACAGTCTTCGCCCGCGCGCCCAGCCCAGACCAGCTCCTGCTGGTTTGTCGTGTCACCGGCTTCTACCCGCGGCCCATCAGTGTGGCCTGGCTGCGGGATGGCCAGGAGGTACCACCAGGTCCGGCTCTTAACACCAGCACCATCCTGCCCAACGCCGACCTCACCTACCAGCTCCGCAGCATCCTGGCCGTGGCCCCCCATGACGGGCACAGCTACGCCTGCCGCGTGCGCCACCGCAGCCTGGGTACTCGCAGCCTCCTCATCCCATGGGGTAGGTGCCCCCTGTGGGGATGGGGCGCAGGGTGTGAGCAGAGGCCTCTGGCCCCACGCAGGTGCCTGGAGGATGGTGGGTCAGGCTCCAATGGCTGCTCTGGCCATGGTGTCCTGTGTGCCCACAACTGCTCTCTTCCCTCTCTCCTCCAGGCAGCTCCAAGGTAGCTCTCAGTTTTGGCATCATCATTGTGGTGCTGCTCACCGTGGCTGCAGTCCTTACTGGGGCCATCTGGTACTATAGGCGCAGGTGAGGTCTCCTTGCCCAGAGGCACCAGCCCCATCACCTCCAGGCCACGGCTGGTGGCATCTGCCTGGCGAGGGCTGCCTGCCTTTGTCCAGCCTCACTCACCTCCTCTTCTCCTGCAGGAGCTGAGAGCACAGGACACACCACACCAGGGATGCCCGGAGGCCCTCCATATCTTCCTGATAATAAACCACTAATTAACACCCTCATAGATGTGGGAACTGCTAGCGCGCCTTGCCCAGCGCCCACAAGCACACGGCATCACACAGCACCTGTCTGCCCCAGGAGAGATGGGAACAGCCCTGGTGCAGCGCAGGAGCATGTCCACACTCCTTATCCAGAGTGAAACACTGGGACAGCTCTCCAGCACCAACAGGGTGTCTCTGGCCCCAGCCCCTAGTACTGGAGGGGAACCAGACTCCCCACAAAACAGCAGGACTCAGCCAGTGCCAACACAGGCCAGGACAGAAATGCAGCAGGGCGAGGGAGGGCCATCTTCCCTCTGCTGACCCTTCTAGAGACGTGTCAGCACCTCCGCACCACATCCCGGTCCCTGGGAGCAGGGGATGGTGACAAACATGGGTGGGGCCAGCACATAGCTTGTGGGGATGGGGAGCCCAGGCATGCAGTGGGAACGCAGTTCACCTTCCCCAGGGGAAATACAGCCACACCGGGCCAAACACACCCGGTTCAGTCCTGGGGCAGCAGCACAGAGAGGACAGAGATGTCTGTGCCGTGAAGGGCCGGGCACGAGTGGCAGCAAAGGACTTTCCTGTCACAGAGACTGGATGCAGCCCATGGCCAGGCAGCACCCCCACCAGCACCAGGGGTAGAAAAGAGGGGTCGTGTCACCCACACCGCCTCAGGTATGAGAGTGCTACCATAGCCATGGGGGACTCCACCTGCAGCCAGGGGGCTGGCCTTGCTCCCACCCAAAATCCCCTCTGTGGGGGGGCCACAGGCCAGGCCGCCTGTGCTGGTTTGACCCACAGTGGGACCATGCTATCCTGCATTCACTCCCCCAACCCAGTGAGGTGGGATGGGAGACACAGCAAAGGGCACACGGGATTAGCAACGAAGGACAGGGAGGGCTCACTCACCAGTGATGGTCACGGGCAAAACACACTCAACTTGGGGAAGAAAAATCAGTTTAATTCCTTGCCATT